AAGAGCGAGGGAGAGAGAAAGGAAGAGAGAGAGAAGAGGGAGAGAGAGAGAGAGAGAGCGAGAGAGAGAGAGCGAGAGAGGGAGAGGAGGAGAGAGAGAGAGGGAGAGGAGAGAGAGAGAGGAAAGAGAGAGGAGAGAGGAGAGAGAGAGGAGAGAGAGAGAGAGAGAGAGAGAGGAGAGAGAGAGAGAGAGAGAGAGAGAGAGAGAGAAGAGAGAGAGAGAGAGAGAAGAGAGAGGAGAGAGAAGAGAGAGAGAGAGAGAGAGAGAGAGAGAGAGAGAAGAGAGAGAGAGAGAGAGGAGAGAGAGAGAAGAGAGAGAGAGGAGAGAGAGAGAGGGAGAGGAGAGAGAGAGAGTTTTAGTGTGCTTCGTGTTGATTGGCGTAAAGTCATGGGGCGCTGTAAAGGAAGGAACTTCGCATAGTCTTTCTTCGAATGTCTTGCTGATTGTGATTTAGGCCTTAGGACGCGCCTGGTCGCCTGGTCGTGTGGCACCCAATTTGAATGTTTTAAGTGAGGTTTTCAATTGTCCAGAATGAGGGTGCATTCAGGGCACCATGAAGCTGGCTCGTGTCGCAAATCCAGTGTTGGAAATCTCATTTCAGATTCTGTTCATGGTCGGCATGGGTTTTCTGAAGCTGGACCTGAGTCACCTGAATTCGGACTGCCCAAAGCTGATGAAGAAACTCATCACAGAATGCATCAGCTTCAAGGCCACCGTACGGCCTCTCTTCAGACAGGTGGGCTCATTGGAATAAGTGTTGTGTTGCATTTGTTGTCGGACGAGTAATGTAATGTAGGCTTCGGATGTTTGGAAAGACGCGCGCTGGTTGGAAAGTTCAGCGCTTGGACGTCTTGTGGCTTCGTTGTCCTGGTGACAGCGTGAGAAGTAAGCAGCTTCCGACCCGTTCTTCCGTTTTCGCGAATTTGTCGAATTCATGACATACCTCGCCGTGTATGCAGCATGCCATGTGAGGCTGGGCGGGGCCAGCGCTGCTGCCGCTCACACGCCGACCGTGCTACGCCGTCAGATCGAGGACCGCATCGACTCGATCCTGCAGAACATTCCCAAGATCGCGCGCTCCCAGTCCGACTCGTGCCTGGCCATGGTGAACAGACACTACGAGACGGACGACTACTCGCTGTACCCATACGCGTGTCCCTCTCCGCGCACTCCCGGCCTCTCCGGCCAGCTGGGCGCCTTCGCCTTCCAGCCGGCCGTGTAGCGCGGCGGCCGGCCGCGCGCGCTTCGCCGCCCGGGCTCTGGGGGGATTGCGCCGCCCCGCCAGGTCTCGTCCCGCACGTGACAGCGCGCCCGGTGGCCGGCGGTCAGCCGGGCGGCGCTGTTCAGTCCCTCCTCCTTCCTCCCTCGGGTCGGCTTGGTCTCATTTTCAGCCGCCTTCGGACGGGCTGGGGACCCTGTGGGCCCAGCCGCGACGGTGCGGTGCGCCTGGCTGTCGCGGCGCTGCCGGTCAGCGCTGGCCGCGGCCACGGCCGTCGGTGCCGACGCCGACGTGGACGTGGACGTCGACGTCGACGTCGACGTCGACGTCGTGCTGAGGAGACTTGGTCGCGGTCGCCCCCCACCGCCACTGACCCCCGCCCCTCCCGAAACTCGGGCCGGCTCCAGAGGCGACCTCGTCGCCGATCGCTCTCCGCCGCCCAGCCCCCGTCGTGCCCGCCCGCCTCCGCCGACTACGACCCCGCGCCCCTCCCGAAACTCGGCCTGGCTCCAGAGGCGACCTCGCCGCTGACCGCTCTCCGCCGCTCCCCGACGTCCTTGTGATAGAGCGGGCCGCGCCCGCCGCCCGGCTCGCTAGTGCCGGGCGCGCGCGCGCGCGCGCCGACCCGCGCGCCCGCTCGCTTGCTCTAGTCGGCACCGCTGGTTACCCAGGGTTGTGTTATGCCGCACTCATACGTTTCTGTTGCACGTATTATCATCGTCATTTTGTTATGTTCATGGGTATGTTCTGTGCGAACGTTCGACTTGTGTGTCTGTACATAGTGTGTAAGTGATGTGACATCATGACTGAATAAATCCAGCATTTTAACCGGAGTGTGGGCGGGAGGCTTTTCTGGTGAAAGTGATGCGACTCGCATCAGAACGCGGTGACTGTACGGTCATGTGATACCTCAAAGTAATGCTGCATCACAATGCTCCCGCAACGTTATGCGCCTGTAGCACATTGTTGTTGTAAACGTAACATGGCTTATTAAAAACAGGAGCAGAAGGCGGTCTGGAGAATTAAATTCTAAGCACTCAGTTTATCTCGTTGCAGTAGCCAGTACTGGATACCTGCCATCTGAGTTCGTCCCGTATCACGCCTACGTACGTCTCTACTGCCCGCAGTGATACCATCTGCCATCTGATCGCCACCCTGTGCAAAATTCAAAGCTTTCCTTTTTGCTTTGGACACTACGACTCGTATGGTTTTCAGAAAGAAAACACGTACGGGGGGCAGTCTTCTTCGACGCAGAAAACACATCCTACACCACACGGAGCTGTGGTGTTCTTTTAAAGCTTCTTAAATACGCTATACGTGGGCGTGTGGGTACTCTTCCCCAAAAGCTTTTAGCTAGACGATATTTCCGTGTTCGCGTCGGCAATGTCCTCTCCGATCGGTACCAACAACCAAACGGTGTGCCCCAGGACGGCGTGTTAAACGTAGCGCTGTTCGCAGTCATGATAAACGATATTTGTGATCTGTGATCCCCAGTCTGTTGGACGTGTCCTTTTTGTTAACGGTTTTATCATTTGAACCGGTGCAGCGGGAGCGCCACCAATGGAATGGCGTCTCCAGCTGGCTGTGGGCCGTTTGGATAAGTGGAGCGGTATGAACGGGTTTCGTTTTTCAGGCGACGAGACTGTCTTAACGCATTTTCATCGTCGCCATCGATGCGATGGCGTGAGCATCTACATGTATATGGCCGCTGTATTCAAACTGAGACTGCGGCCGGGTACCTTGGGGCACACGTACCGCCGGCTTACATAAAATGCACATCTCATAATGTGACGCGATCGCTGCTTCAAACCTAACATACTAAAACGCGCGTCCCGCATATCATATGGGGCAGACATAAGCACGCTTATGCTTTTATATCGTTCACTCGTCCGCTCCAAACTGGGTTGCGCATGCTTTGTGTGTGATGTCGTGTCTGAATTCAGCAAGCGTGTTTTTGATACCGCCCACCATTCCGCCCCCCGTGTTGTTAGTGAGGCGCTCCGCACATTACCCACTGTTAGCCTCCTGCCAGAGCCACATGAGCCGCCACTGTCGGCGAGGGGAAGAATGCGCGGAATGTGTTATGCCATGAAGTTGCGGCTGCTCCCGTCACATCCGACATATGTAGTATTTTCTCGGTATGCTGTGAGTTTCCTTCGTGGCGGGCCGCAGCAGCACACTCTTTTGGTTTCCGAATGAGAGCCCTATGGCAGGAGAGGGAACTTCTTGCGTTAACCACTACGCGGCTGGCAAGCCAGAGGCCCTTCCCACCGGGTTGAGAGGCAAGCGACGCCCTATAGCCTCAGCAGCTGGGTGCGTCGTAAAGCCCCAATGACGTACGAGAGCGAAATTCCTCTTCGAGGTGTGACGCAAGTAAGCCACCTGGCCTCTCCTCCTTGGCAGGTGACCATACCCTTACTGCACGTTGCGTATCGGGCACACGTATGCCACCCATGGTTACCTGTTGCGTGGAGCTGACAGGCCCCTCTGCCATTGATGCAGTGCCGTTTTCGTTGTCCACCATATGATTGTATCGTGTCCGCGCCCCATCGAAGAGCGACGATGTCGTTTTGGACCGCAGGCTTCGTCCCCAGAGATCAGCGACGTGCTTAGGAACAGCTGATCATTTCTTGAGTGTGAACAGCTCTTCTCCTTCCTACAGGCTATCGACTGTCAAGCCATTTTCACACCACACCAGTCAAGTAAAAATATCGCTATGGGCCATAACGAGACGGCCAACGCACTCTAAAACACCAATAGTCAACAAACAAAACATTCAACCTTGACGGAATATTCAAAGGTTAGAAAATATATTAGTATATTAGACACATGCCCATACACAAAGTTCGTCCTATAAAGCTATTCTCCTACAAGAGGCACCGGAATGTACGGCTGTGTGCGGAGTGTCAAAGCACGCCAACCTGGTCACACTGGGGCAGATCGAAAAGCAATACCAGCGAGATAAAATATCACAATCGAGTACGGAACCTACGAAACATTTACCATTAAATACTCCAAAAGCTGACCGCTGCCTCCCGATTATTGTAAACACCCAGGCTAGTACGCTAAGTGCTGCGCACAGAACAGGCAGCCATGACGCTTACGCAGCCATGACGCAGTACGCTTGGTATTGATGCGCTTACGCCCATAACATCTGCCACCGAAAATGATCTCGGGCAATGCCACTCGCGACGAATCTCGCAGATCGCAAAACAGCGAACCGCTCACTGCTAAAAACACCAGCATTCTTTATATCCAGCATTCACCATCAGCATTCTTTGGTCTTTGTTACTGATAGTTGTAAGTAAGCAACACCACTTTTCATGCGTTGGGCGGTATCAATGATCGAGATATACCTGATCGCACTGGTTCAGGGACCATCGCATAACTCCAACTGCGGTGGACATTCACATCCAGGTCACCAACTGAGATAACAAATGTGAGGCGGCTGCTGTTGTGTTGTGAGGATCCTAGCAACAGCAAAAAAACTGTCATCGAAGATGCAACATGCGCGGCGCCATGGCATCGCATCGCTGAGGGTCTCGCTATGACTAAAGTCAGGCAGTACAAAGCTAGCAAGGCAGGCATGCAATACACACTCGTCAATGCCAGCGGACCCATGCCCCACGCCGCGCGCGCAAAACACACGATCCGGATCGTCAGGAGATGCTCTGACCATCGGTAGCCAGACGGCTGGGACGGCCGGCTCACACCGTCGCAGCCCGGCGGCGGACGGACCGTCAATGGGAGGGCCTGTACAGCGGGCCCGGGTATCCCTGAGCCTCTGGACTTGGACACAGTTGGCCCCGTTCGTCAACTGACATAGGCCGGCGATAGACTGCAAGGTCGTGTCGGAAACTTGTACGGAGGGACCTGCCACGTGCACCCTAGTTCTCACCCGATCAACACTCAGTCGAGACCGTCGCCTCCCAACCTGCGTGTGTTCATACTCTTAGGACCTACGCACTTTCCTGTGGGCAGTACACCCTCCTCGCTGCCCAGCAGTCCCTGCTATGCCGTACTTCAGCGGGTCGTACACCCTCCTTACTGTTCAGCTGTCCCTGCCACATGGTTCCTCCGCGGGCGCCTCCGTTCACCGTTTAGCTCTCAGCTCAGCTCCCAGCGTGCTGCGCCAGCGCCCTGCGGCCAGTGCTGCGCACTAGCCGGCTCTGATGCTGCGCCACCGTCTCCAGCTGACGGGCGACGCGGGAGAGGGCGGCCGGCGAGTGTTGCTGCGTCCAGGCGGTGGCGCCGATGCCGGCGCGGGCGCGCAGGTTGTACCGGCCCGGAGATGGCTGCGGAGCGGGGAAGCGGGCCTCAGGCTGTGCTGATGAGATCACCGGTGACCTGACCTTCGTGCTCTGGGGGTCACGCAAACCAGAGGCCACGTCGGGGGACTCTCGTCAAGGCCGCCGTTACTGTCCCGGGCGTCAGGCAAGCCGGGGGGTGGGGGGTCGCATCCGAGGGGTCCCTTCAGGTCAGGTCGGCTTACTGCTGCTCCGGGGTCAGGCAAACCGGGGGGTCCTGCCGAGGGGTCTCCCGTATCAGGTCGCTGTTACTGCTCCGGGGGTCATGGCAAACCCGGGGGGCCACGTCGGGGGACTCCTCGTCAAGGTCGCCGTTAACTGTACCCGGGGGTCAGGGCAAGCCGAGAGGTCACGTCCGAGGGGTCCCGTTCAGGTCCGTCTGTTACTGCTCGCGGGTGTCAGGGCAAGACAACCCGTGGGGGCCACGTCGGGGGACTCTCGTCAAGGTCTGCCGGTTACTGTCACGGGGTCAGGCAAGCCGAAGGGGTCACGTCGCGAGGGGTCCCGTTCAGGTCGCTGTTACTGCTCCGGGGGTCAGGCAAACCCGGGGGGCCACGTCGGGGGACTCTCGTCAAGGTCGCCGTTACTGTCCCGGGGGTCAGGCAAGCCGAGAGGGTCACGTCCGAGGGGTCCCGTTCAGGTCGCTGTTACTGCTCCGGGGGTCAGGCAAACCCGGGGGGCCACGTCGGGAGACTCTCGTCAAGGTCGCCGTTACTGTCCCGGGGGTCAGGCAAGCCGGGGGGTCACGTCCGGGGAGTCCCGTTCAGGTCGCCGTTACTGCTCCGGGAAGATTATGTCAGGCATGCTAAGGACAACTAAACAACATCGCGCCCGTCGAGTTGGTCGTCGCTATTCCGGGCCGGTCACGCCAGATACCCCGAGGGCAGGCCAACATAACCACGTCAAGCCCCGCGTCACCGCTGCGGGAGGTCGGGTACACAAGCCAAATCAAGGCCTCAGCACAAACATGACTAACACCCCGCGCGGGTCCTGCCAGCGGCGCTGAAAGCACGCCATCACTATCGTCATCGCCATCGTCATCATGTTCGTTCAACCCGCCCCCACAAAGGTCACGTTCCTGGCCATGACTACGGTTCGGAACACGGGCGTCGGCGCGTGTCTTGTGCTTGTATGGTGGCCATAGGTGTGGGGCGTAGATACGTACGTTCGTGAACATGGGTGTGGCATTCATACATTAATTTTCTTCACCTGCTTTCGTGGCGTATGCCAGGATCCATGGTCATTGGTCATCACTTTTCTCGAAGGACTGGTTTTGCAGCCATTTCTATTCAATGGTCATAGTTTGACGGCGATGGGTTCCGTGGTCTTAGAGCATCGGTGCAATTCCATGTGCCAGCTGTCCAACCCATCCCAGACTGCAGCCGGCATGCGAGTATGTGTAGCGCCATCTGGCGCGTGGAGAGCAAGTTTGATTTGTCGACTCCCCGCTAGGTGACAGGTGGCGTGCCACCTGGCTCATTGCCGTGATGTTATCAGCTGTTTGGAAGTGACGCTGGCTGCTGCCAGCTGAGCGCAAAGACGCAGGTCGGGCCGGGCTTGCCTTCGCGTCAACTAACCGAACTGTTGTACAATCTGCGGTTACGTCGACCACAAAGTCGGACGAGCGCTTGGTAGCCTACGATTTTGAAGGGCTTATGATACATCTATGTAATGATCGAAATCCCACTACGATGTCGTGTTCGGCAACAGGCGCACAACTGTTTCGCTGCTGTAATTATGTTCAAGGCATCTAAGCTTGTGAGCTCTTTAACAAGGTGAGGTTTCCTTGCATCACAAACTTCATAACCAAATGTGCCTTTTCCATTCAAGTAGCATGGCATCTTGCATCATCTCTAGTAGCATCATCTCCCCCGGCGCCTCACCTGGGGTGTCTGTGCCCTGGCCAGCGCCGGCGGCCCCCGTGACGCACCTCTCTCCCCGGCGCCTCACCTGGGATGTCCCTGGCCAGCACCTGCCGCCCCCGTGACGCACCTCTCTCCCCGGCGCCTCACCTGGAGTGTCCCGGAGCGTGCCCTGGCCAGCACCCGCCGCCCCTGTGAAGCACCTCTCTCCCCGCCGCCTCACCTGGGGTGTCCCGGAGCGTGCCCTGGCCAGCGCCGGCGGCTCAGGCGTGTATCGGAGGACGGCCAGGGCTCCCGCCGCGGCCTCCACCGGGCTGGACCGACCGAGCGGCGTGGAGCGGCCGCTCGCCGCTTCTCGACGCGACACGACCATCAGCGGCGCCGGCGCCGAGCTCGGCGGCGTGTGGCCGTCAGGGAGCGCCCCTGTCGGCCGCACAAGCGGAGGTCAGCGCGCTGGGCGGAGCACCGCCGCCCCATGTACTGACAGCTCACACCCTTGCTGTGGCAGCCTTCTCCGCACGCTGTCACCGACCGCTTATCGTATGTTTTTTCTAATCGTTAGCTGATAACTCAGTCATCCAATCTAGGCAAGCACCTTTAGGATCATGGCAAGAACATTGCTTTTGCGATCAAATCCGCTTTGATTTTATTACGGTTAACTGCGACCATAGTTTGGATGGAGATTAACCAGCAAACTGATAACGCAGAATAAAGCACTACAAGCTACATGGCCAAGCCCCTCCAATGCATTGTATTCAACATGACACGTTCTCACAGCTGTTCGTGCAACCGACCCAATTAAGGTCATAATCCCAAGACGACTGGCAGCAGTGGCCGGCCTGGTACCCACCGTCGCCGTTGGCGGCGCCACCGTCGGGGACGTCGCCACCGCCGATCTCTTCCGGCCGGTAGACAGACCACATGGTCCCGGCGACTGCCGCGTTAGCACCGGTACCGGCACGGACGGCGTCGCAGCGTGACCCCGGCTCAGGCTCGGTGACACCTGCGACCGCACAGGTCAGTCTGGCTCAGACTGTCCGCGCTGCCAGGACGGCGCGAGCGCACAGCGCGCGCAGGGCGGTTACGACCGCTGAGCTGCGTCAACACTACTCATCTGACACCGTCCTCAATGGCGTCCCTCGCTGGCGTCGGTGGGTGGATTCCAGCGCAACTCGACTTCAAGGATTCACAGCACGCAGTGTTGCAGAAGGCTCACGGCCATACGCACACCTGACTTCACGGCTAGGGCATGTTGGGCCGGCGATCTCACCCTTGGACGTGAGGTAGCGGTGCATCTCCAGCTGCCGCCGGTGCAGCTCCAGCAGGAGCCGGTTGTTGGCGGCGTTGAGGTCGCGGTAGCGGTACGCCACGACGGACAGCAGCAGCAGGCAAAGTGAGACGGCGGCGCGGCGCAGCAGCCACACCATGTCCTCCAGCACCGCCTGCCGCACGGTCACACAGACAGTCGGTCCTCGCTCATACGGCGCTGGCGCCCGGGCACCCGCAATGCATTGCAGTCGCCCGTCCATACGGGCGTGAAGGAGAGCATCGTTTTAATGACGAGTGGCCTGGACATCTGCCACAGGACCGACTACCCCCACTCCATTCTCCCGATCCTACCGGCTGTCTATGATGAGCCTGATAGAACTACTACAGCGGCACAGCGCAGAGCGTCGTGCGCACGTGGAGAGCTGACAGAGGCGGCCAATAACACGCCATGACTCGTCGCCGCACCTAACCAGCAACCACGTCCAACTAACCGCGTCCAAACAATGCCAACTTACACCTGTCTCCTGGGCGTTCTGGATAAGCACTGGCGACGGGGCTGAGATGAAGTAGGCGGCGAGCAGACGCTCCAGAGCCAGGTTACCGGTCAGCACCAGGAATAGCCACAGCCTGTAGGGCCGGGAGCCGTTGTGTCAGTCACAGCCGTCAATACCGTCAGCACCAGGAACAGCCACAGCCTATAGAGCCGGGAGCCGCGGTGTCAGTCACAGCCGTCAATACCGTCAGCACCAGGAACAGCCACAGCCTGTGGGGCCGGGAGCCGTTGTGTCAGTCACAGCCGTCAATACCGTCAGCACCAGGAACAGCCACAGCCTGTGGGGCCGGGAGCCGTTGTGTCAGTCACAGCCGTCACTACCGTCAGCGCCAGGAGTATGGCTCCGGTCTACCAGCAATTAGAAGGCGTCCCCAGTTTCCCCGATGGGGACGTTCAAAGGCGTCATCTCCGTCAGCCCAAACGTGCCAGGAGACAGGAATGCTGTCTTGAAACCCGAGGGCAGAAAAGGTCACGGACGCTGCGCGCAAAAAGGTCAGATGAGCTTCGTGAAGTTCGTGTAGTTCGTTGCTAATGTCCAAGACCTGATTGTCAAAACAGTTTATTTTAGTGTCTATTATGTTTTTTATTTCCTTTACTTTTCTGTTCTTTTAATTAATGTTCTTTTAATTTATTTCGGACCTTCTGGAGCTTTCAGTCGCACATTGACAGGGACCCAGACATACTCGCACACACGTACAGACACACGCACGCACGCACGCATACACGCGCACACACAACAGAAAACTCTCAGCCCACAGTCACTGTCGACGCCAGATACAGCCAGAACCCGTGGGAAAGAGATGAGGCATGAGGGGACTGACAGCACAACGACAGAACAAATTGCCGTGGGGCAAACAACGGTAACGGCGAAAAGCATACGAAAACACGAACACGCCTGACTTGGCAGCTGACATTTAACATCCATCGCCGCACCTCCGGCCCGCGTGACTCCGGACAATGAACTGATGCCAGCATCGCGCAAAAAGGCGCCTCTCCTCGTCCTGTTTGTGCTCATCAACAGGACGAGGCCAACGGTTGTCAACAGACGCGCGTGCGCGCGTGGCTGCGTGCATGTCATGCAAACGCACAATATGAGGTTGCGTAATCTGGTTGTCAATATCCCGAGAGAAATGTTCGGCTTTTCACGACAGCAGCAGAGCATGACTTCGGGCGGAAGGGGCGTTCCCTGCTCACGCCTGTGCATCCGGCCTGCCAGCTAGTTGCGCGCAGGTCGTTGTCATCCCAATGCCTCTACGCGTGTTTGCACGATTCAGTCGATTGGCGTCACTGGGGTAAGCAGCTGAGCAGCTGTTGCAGCTCAATCGACATTGTTGGCACGATGTTTTTTTTATTTCTTATACGTGTGAATCGTGATATTGATATATATATATATATATATATATATATATATATATATATATATATATATATATATATAATCCGTGATATTTTTCTTGGTTGCTCGCATATCCGTGATTTGCTGATTATCACACTCTTTTAATACATCCTATTCATCCTCTGCCGTCTGTGTCATAGATAAAATTGCTGGCTTCTTGCGGAAATCATAATATTGTCGGATGACAATTTTGTGAAAATGATAAGCAGCACTGCGAGCATAGCAGCACTGCGAGCAGCGATGGTGAAAACCACAAAGTTAAATGATGATTATTGTGCCCCTTGTATTTTTGGTGCTTAACACGTCGTCTGGGTTTTATGATTTCAAAGTTGGGCAATTCTGATACCGCGAGCTGATTGTTGTTCGTTTACGTGCTGCGCGTGAAATGCTCACGGTGGAGATTTTTCTTCAAAAAGGTGAGCTACTTGAAGAATACTTTATTTTTTACGACAATTATGTGTACCTCCTTATTTCCTTATCTTATGTCCCCCCTTCCTTATGTCCTCCCCTCCTTATGTTCCGACTTCCCAGGGCCTAGTAGGGGCTCAACGGCCCGACGATGAAGGACCCGATCGGCGGGCCTAAGGGCACGAAGAGCTAGACGAAGTCTTCTTCAGGGGCTCGACCTGCGGGGACGCGCTCACAGATGACAGTCAGAGGATCCTTTGCGCCGTTCGGGGCCCCTGAGTCGATAAGGGCTTGGCACTGGCACTGACACCGACACCTGAGTCTCGCACTACCCGTACCGTACAGTCGGCTCCGTGTTGGTAAGGGCCTGAGAGCCCGCTTTTAGAACAGCGACCAAGCTGGAGCCAGCGATTTACACCGAATGGGGCCGCTGCATCCACCAGGGGCCTAAGGTGCCTACCAGAGGGTCCTGCGCTGGCAAGGGGCTCCGAACGCTGCATCCATCAGGGGCCTTAAGTGCCTACCGGAGGGTCCTGTGCTGGCAAGGGGCTCCGAACGCTGCATCCATCAGGGGCCTTAAGTGCCTACCGACTGAGACTGCAGGCGTTTATCCTCGCCAGAGACCACCAACACCGAACAGTTAGCTACGCGTCGGTCTGAACCCTAGGATCCCATTTTCCAAGCAAGAACAAGGCCGGAGCCTATGATTTGCGTTGGTCTGGCTCCCGGAAACAATGATTGAGTCCATGTGTCGGTCATGGGTCCACGGTACCTAACAGGGGGCCATATGTCGGCAAGGGTTCCTGAGTCCGTCACGGGCTTTGTTTGAGGAGGCCCGAAAAAGGGACTATTGGCTTCTCGGGATCGAAGATCAAGGGCCCGATTGGAAGGCCCAAGGGCCAGAACGACTTCCCGTAGGTTACAACAAGGACGCCCCCCGCCCGTTGGGCCGTGACCTCCAAGGCCAGTCAGAGGGCCTCTGCATCGATTGGGCATCCGTGGGACGGTGCGGGGCCTCTTATACTAGTGTTTGAGCACTCGGTCTCAATCTGTGCCAGCTCAGTTCTAAAATGAGCAGTGTGCCTGATGAGCCCACATTGAAATGGAGAAGGCTTGGGCACGCCTCTGGTGTATGTGCTGGGTATTTAACAACCAACGAATGTGGCGGGTGGAAAAAGTCGTGCACTGCTCGGGTTCCTAGCAGTCAGGCCCCCCGCGCATTGCGTTTTTCACTGTTGGGAGATTTTGTGATTCTCAGGTCTTAATTTCTCACCTGGACGAGAGCAAGTCCGTCTGACTTTCGCCCGACGGAGTCGCATGCCCGGCACTGAACTAACCGTCTGAACTGGCCTTGGGGATCGATCGCTCACTGTGCCAGGTAGGCCAGCTTCTGCGGAATACTCGGGACCTGCAGCACGTCCAAACCGAGGGCAATCTTCAGCCAGCAGCAACTCAGCCACCCAACTAAGCAACTCATTCAACTCAGTCATTGACCGGCCCAGGGTGGACGGAGGGATTTGATGTCACCAATACTGTCGCACCACGCTCCATCTGCCGAAGACCTGT